TGCACTCTGCTGCTACCATTACTTGCTGCTGCACCCGCAAGCTCATCCCTTCACTTTTAACCCTCCTCTTTGCTGTTTTAGGGACTGCAATCCCTTCTCGGTGATCTCTTTGCTGAACTGGAGATTTGGTACCCCCCTTTGTTTTTTCCACCAGGTGAGGGGACAATTACTGCCGATTTAGTTTTGTGCGGATTTGGGTCCTCACTTAAGCTTGAGGATTTGGAACTCTATGCAACACGCCCTTATGTGTTATTTTGGACCAAGATGTCCATGTTGCTTCTCAACTTGCCTTCCTGGGAATTTTGTGCAGTGTGTTGTGTTTCAGTGTTTGTTAGTAAAGAGTTTAGTCTTAATGACAGGTCGCGAGGGTGCTCTGTTGGCCGTGGGTTTGTAGTGATACACGGAGAAAATCAGTACCTCCAGGTCCACCTTCGTTACCGTGGGATGTAAATCCTTGGAATGTGTTGGTGTTTCAAATTTTGCATTCTGCGATACCGTGATACTACAGTGGGACTTGTAGAAAACGACGCCTTCGATCTTTTCAATGTTACCCGAAACCCTAGCTCCCTCAAAGGGGTTGTCATGTGGAAGAGGCTACTCAGGAGGCTTCTAAAGTCTTCGATAACGGGTTATTGATTTTCTTACAAAACATGACGGACGATAATTCTAGAATTGCACGCAGAAGAAACCTTGCCAATTGATAAACTTTTTCGGGTTTTTTTTTTTTTTTTTTTTTTTTTTCGAGATGAGTAATGAGTCGTGCAAACTGGAATCTGTCTATCAATTCATTCGTTAGGACTTATGAAAGAGACCTATTTCGAGAAATTCTGAGTTTCCTGGTTGCTTTGTGTCATTTCCGAGTTCATGTGCCTTGGTTTCAGTTTTCCAGGTCTTTACAGCTGTGTATGTGGTGGGCACAAGCAATATCCGACATTGCACTTCGTCAAGAACTTCCTTCTAAAAGGTTTTTATCTGCATCTAGACCATGCACTCTTTTTTGGTTATTAAATTGTAGTCACAACCCTCTGCTTTTAACTGGCAATAAGATGTTGTGAAACAGAAAGGTCTTGTGACAATGTCCGACTCGCCAGCAGTCCCAAAGTTGAAGCATGGAAAAGTCCGAAATCTTTTACCCCCAGAGGAATCTGAGATGAAACCTGATAATGAACCTGAGGTCGAGGGGATCAAGAAATCGACTGATATTGCCACTTCAGAGCCAACAGATATCGAAACCAAATGGGTTCATAATGACACCCACGACGGATAGATCAAACAGTGTAGAATTGATTCGTGGGAATTCCTAATTGATGTTAGTTCCCGCAGGATCCAGGTTTGTTTGTACAGATAGGGCAGCAGAACTAATGTGGTAATTTTTTGAGTGCTGGTTGTTCTTCAGCATTTCCTTTGCAGGAAGCAAGGACTGACCGTACACTCGACATTCTCGATTGTGAAGTATATTATTTGTTTTGCGCATTCACATGTTTGTCACTAGTTTCACAATGAAGACGCCATAGTTAGAGTTGAAATGTATTTTTCTCGTTCAATCTGTAAGATCGTCTTCATTTCATTGTCCGACACATTGTACTCTCCGTATTCAATGGGGAGGTGATCAAAACCTGGGTTAAAGGGTTCCAATCAAAATGAACTTTTAATGAAAACCTGGTACGAAACAATACATCATAATGACTCGGACTAAAAAAATCTCTGACTTCGCCTCACGTCTTTTGCTGCTTCGAATCTTGTTTCGTAATCGTTCTAATTCTCATGCTCGAGTTTTCAGAGCATTTTTAATGTGGATCGTTATTTATGCTTTCAGATGCATGTCTCGGGAACAGAAATTTTCTTTTGGCTGTGCAGGTGCAAATGTACGCCTGTTTTTGAAGCAGGATGATTGGTTCGATTGTAATGGTCTTAGTTGCTTGTTGAACTTTGTGCATGTCTCGTGGTGATAGTTACTAGTTAAAGGTGTTACTACCATTGTTGGGTAAAGGTATCTGCCCAGCTGTTGCCGTACGGCACACAAATAATGCATGATCGAAAGAAGTTCGGTTTGAAAGTTTGCAACAGAAGAAGTTCCCAATATAGCGTGTGCACATTGTAATAATATTTTCACTGTGTGTGTACACATTTAGCATCACTCAAGGTGGTCGTTAACTGGTCCAGTCTTTCATATTGTATGGATTATTAGGCAAAGTAAGATTCTTATCGTTGTTGAAAGTACAATTCCTACAGCGGGACAACAATGAATCTCAGTTGAAGTTTTAATAGTGTTCAACTGTTATTTGTACATCACTGTCGATATTATCATCTTTCTCAACAGTCAACTTGTAGGTGAGACAAACCACTTTGCACTACTCTACTTTGTTAAGTCGTGGATGGGTAACTAGTTTTTCCATTTTCGTTTAGCTCTAAGAATCACGCGACCTGCTGGACAGATGACAACAACGTTTCAAATATAGATCAATATTGATGTAGTTGTATTTCCTTAAATTTTACACTTAAATAGATGAAAAGAGGAGAGTTCCAGTCTTGGTTGGCACCATCACAAACTAAGCATACCATCACAAACTAAGCTCATGTTCACAACTGCACAGAGAAACGGAAGACATTAAGCCAGCTTTTACTAATACTCGTTTGCTCGTACGCTGGTATTTGTGTACAAAAAACTCCCCATAACTAATTTAATGCATCGTGTAAATTATTCAACTTAATTAATCTCTTCGGAACTTCGACATATCATGCCACGCAATGAATCATGTTCCTCCCTCTTGCTGGAACGAAACCCAAAGCCCCAGCCACCAGGCAAGAGATATGCTGGAAGTCAACCACGTGATGCTGATCAGAACCAATGGATTGAGCACTAGGACATATCCTTATCAATTCTTCCCCTTTGTAGTATTCTTCTTCATCTGTACAAATAAGACCACGAGTCAGTAATGATGTGCAAAAGAATACACATGCACTGCACGACGCTCAGACCCTCGTATTGACGCAGCTGGTGGAAAAAAGGACTTCTCTGTGCCGCTGACCTTTCCTTCAGGAAGTGGAGCTCCTCTTAGATTTACAATGCCACTGGAGTTATTGGACCCTGATCCGCTCATACCGCTCTGGCTGGCGGGCGCCAATGCAGGGGTGGCTGGTTTGCGGACGAACATGGAATTGGCTCTTTCTTTCTCCGTGAACCGGCCTACGGAGGGTTGGGTGGTCATTCCGTCTTGGGCCGGTTGTGATTCATTGAATGCTCCGGAATACTGCGGCCGATGCCCGCCTTGCCCGTAATCATCCTTAATGTTGCTGCTCGAGTAGCTTCCATGAGAAGACATCGTCTACTGTTTTTCGTCTCACATGGAACAGGCAAGCCGATGTTTAGTAGAAGATGAAAGATTAGCACAGAATTCAAGTCTGGAAATGAGGGGAAGAAGTGATCTGTCACTGAAAGTACTCTTGTAAAGCTAAAGATTGATCTCATCTTTAGTGCCGAATTTGCTCATGTTTCACCTTCTGACCCCTGGAGTCGACACCATGGTTTTAGTCCTTAAGCTTAACCCACACGCAGGGTCACAACAAACTGCGGCTTTTTTAATTTTTCGATCGAAAAAACAAGCATTTCGGTAGAAAGATTCTCCGCTACGTTGATATTGTGTGTTCAGCGAAAAACCTCTACCTCCCAATGTGAACCAAGCAATTTAAGAGCGAACATTGAGCAAACTGTCATCAGCATGATGCTAGATAAACTGATGATTGCTTCTGGCAGTATGCTTACGAATTTGAGTTACACATGTTACAGTTCCGTGCTATTGATATTTACAATATGGTCTACATTGCCTATTTTCTCTGCACAAAATAATCACTCAATTTCGAGATTGTCAAAGATGATAAGTCTAGAAAGAGGATTGTTTAAAGACTCGCACATGTGTGTATATTCTAAACAACACTCTAATGATTTAATCCTCAGTCTTTAAGAAGCAATGGAGCCTTAATTCAATCTAAGTCAACCATAACACCATAATTACAAAAATCAGCATTAATGAAGGTGACCTGGTTTTCCTCAAACACGGTCTGTATGGTTCTAAACTCAGGTTCAAATTTTTATGAGTAGGTAGTTGCAGACCCTCCCACAAGTACGTACTGAATATTTCTAAGAACTCATGGAAGCTTTAAAGAGTCGTACACTTCCAAAAAAGAAGAACTCCTAGTGTTAGTCAATGGCACAGCAGTCGAAGAGCGCGCAGGCTCCATCTCAAGGGCATACGTGAAAAAAAAAATTACTAGTTTTACCCTACGTATTAAAGTTCAACTTCCTGAATGACTGATCAAAGCAGTGACAACTTCGCCTTACCTTCAAAAATGAAGAGGAACCAGACCTGTATAGTTTAATTTTTAAAATTCTCAATAAAGTCACCTTTTAAAATAAAAATAACGGAGAAAGGAGGGTGGTGGGAGACAAAACCCAAAAAAGACTAAAAGTGATAAAAGGAAGAAGAAAACAATCTTGAGTTGGACACGACTGATTTTTATTTCGTCAGTTATCCAACTCCATATTCCAAGTTGATGAACTCGTGCGATATCAGTACTAGATCTACATTATCTTGAAGTCATGGTTAGAAGTTGACGCAACAACAGGATTTTGGGCATGTCTAGAATGCACTGCGCATGAGCCCGATTTATCATAGATATGAAAGAAACTCACCGACCTTAAACAGCCGACCCACTTCAGGGGAAGTGCTGAGACATCATGACGACATGCAACAAGCGAGGCACATAAAAGTTGGGAGCAGCACCCGTTTGCACAGCGTGGAATGCATTCCATGCTGTATGCTCTCTTCACATCAATTGACCACGTTCAAGACAAACTATCTCGTTAGAGAACCTTACTATAAGTGCGAGTGATTTCCAAACTGAGTTTGAGAGACAATGATGGAGCAGCCGATCGAAGAGGCAATCGTTGGGTCTTCTAATGCACGGGAGGAGTGATACGATTAAAATCCTCGACAGAACTGGATGTCGTAAGATTTGCAGCACGCAGACACTAACGAGATAGTCACTCATGCAGATGCATCTAGACCAGCAGGCAGGCTTTCTTCAGAGAGGTGGATCTGATGAAGAACGGCACTCAAAGGGGCTGCGCAATCGCAGCTCTCTACTCTCGCCACTGCAAACTTGGGACTAGAAGTAGTACCCAACCGAGGATGACACGCCTCTGATCACCAATTGTGCCCCTTACATATAAACTCATGCCGATCCTCGGCCCTACACTAGCATCTGCCTAGACTCTACGACTCTTGAACTGCCATGTAATCCCCGGGTCAAGTATATTGCAGTTAATGGCCAGCCACTCATTAACATCCTCTGCCAACCCCAAACATGCCGGCCATCACAGCCACAATTTTGATATTTCCATATCCCTTTCCCTTTCCTTTTTCTCTTTTCTCGCCTTACTAACTCCTCCCTCAGAGCTGCCCTAATTCCTCCCTGCCAGTCCCATTTTTCCCGCTCTGACAACCATCTCTGAAATCCAGTTAGCCTACTCCCACCACGCCCTTAAGGCTTTGCTATGCCAAGCCGCCGGAGCCTGACTACCATCATCAGCATCATACAAATCCCATCAGTAGCTAAGTTACTCGACCCCAATAATCTTCTCCAGCTTTTTCACCAGCATCACACAAAGACAGTACTGCCCCGGTGATCTCAAATCACGTTACTCTCAGCACTCCCGGGGTCATGTTCCAGGCTCCAGCAGCCACCACACCCCCACCCGAATCCCTGCCTGCTGCTACTTTCCACTTAATCAAATTCCCTCCACCGGGCAGTTGCGCAAGCCCTGTTTCCCACCCTCGATGCACAGTGGATTATTCCTTTTCTACCTCGATCGAAACACACTTGTGGCTCAGATTGGTCACGGAGCCTACGCGACTGTGGCCAACACTTTCACTCGCCTAACCGCCTACCTCTAAGGGCAGCAGCGCCCCGCTTGCAGGGTCCTCATGGATCAGTCGTACGTCTAGATCCCGCCCACTGCGCCCGTCTCACCACATCACCAAAACCAAAAGACCACAAAATAATCCCCAAATCCACCTGATAAAATTCACCGTCATCAGCAGCCCAAGGCCATCACTTCATTGGGGGGGGGGGGGCTCACCCAAAAATAAGATGGGTTCCACTCAATTTCGGATCCCAATCGCTATGCTGGGGATGGCATTCGACGACAGTTCAACTAATCTTCAGCGGGGCATGCACCAGTACAGACCGATTCAGGTAAGTATACGACGCGGCCGAGCGATTGGCTGTAGTAAAATTTTCAAGCCCTGGTGTAGTGTGTCATGGTGTAGTGTGGTGTGGTGTCAAGGCGGGATCTATACCGGCCACCACCACCAAGGCTCTCTCTCTCTCGCACCGTCGCGACCGATGCCGGCATCGCCGCGTCGTTTGCACCTCCTGGCGCGGCCACGTCGGTCTGACGCAGCGCCATTTGCATTCGATCACGTTAAGCGGGGAACCCGCTGCTGGCGTCAAAGCGACTCCCACGCGCCCTCGGCGCTTGTAAGCCTCTAATTCTCTGGGCCGATTTGAGCCACAAGTTCGCATCCTACACGGCGGTACTTTTCTCTCATCCGCTTTGTCACCACTAGATACCTTTCCCTCCATTTAATATCTTGGTTCAGTTCCTCGCAAGTTAGTGGCCCATATGAGCTCTGGGGAAGTAGTGGCTGCAAATGGCTTTCCACTGCTTTCCCCCTTCCACGTCACCCTGAACTCCAAGGGGTCAGTCCTTTTGCTCATGCAGACGTATGTAATTCTCTTGTTGTGCCAAAGCAGGGAGAGAGTGAGAGATAGAGTCGGATATACACAGAGAGAGAGAGAGGGTAGGCAGGCAGGCAGTTCTTCACCGCTTTGACAGGACACCTGGGGGCCTCTTTGTACTTGGTGGCTGCTCTTGCTCTGTTGCTGCTGCTGCTCATGAACCTCCCTCCCCCCCCCCCCCCTTTCATTTCCTTTCTCTTCCTGTGACTGCATCTGCGCCGACAGGGTACTGCTGGTTCTACGCACATCCTCATTACTTACATCATTCCTGCATACAAATTACCTTAACCCCCGCCCCCCTCCTTGCCACCCTATTTCTCACTTTCCAATTCCCTCTACCACACCCACTGTGTGATTGTAGAGTGATGAATCACCATCTTCTGGCATTGTCTGTGTTGAAACCAAAACTTACTCTTTGTCTTTGGTAATTCGATATTTGAACTTTTGTGAATTTTGTCTGTGAGTTGATCTATAATCTTTTTCTTTTAAATGAAAGAAGGAATGAAAGAAATAGTAGATGAAAACAATATCCTATCATGGGTTAACAATCTGAAAATGTTTACAAATGTGCATGTTGTAGGGAGTCACAATTTATGTTTCCAGAAAACATTATTGTTATTTTTTATTTTGGTAAGTAATATAAGTAATCAGGTCACCTTTTGAAATCTCCAAAGATACCTTTGATTTTTTTACAACAAATCCCCCAGGATCATGCCACAACACCCTTTTAAAGCATTGAACAAATCTCCCACAACCCATCCCCAAGACTGCACAAAGGAGTCATTTCAAGCCTCTCCAATCATACTCTTTGTTGGGAATATTGTTTCCTCCATTTAAGCTTCCAAGGTTTCTGTGGCCACTCTAATTATCTTGCACAGTTGACGAAGATATTTTGACACTCCATGTGACCTCATCATTTTGGGGTGTCGGTTCATCTTTGAAGGGGTTTAAAATGTGGCCCACTATTGCACATGCAAGATATTTCGCTCAGGTTGGATCTTTGCTGTGTGTGCTCTTTTTTTTTCTTTGTGATTAGGACAAACAAAACTCACGCCCACAAAACCATAATGAATGAATAAATGTATCGAGGACGAATGAGAACTAGTCTGGGCCCTACTTGTGTCAGGAATGGAAAAAAATATAGGGAGAATTATGCCACCAGCTTGGTACAGATCTGGATACCAGTTTCCCAAAACTGGAAAAAAGGAGAAAGGGAGGGAGAGGGAAAGATATTTGTGTGGACCCAAAGCTAATTCTGACCTTCTTCTGTGTCTAGATGCTACACACCAGGCTTTCAATCTCTGCCACAATGCTCCGGATGTTGTCCACCTGGCATCAATGAATAATTCACCCTAGCTTACGTGGAATCCACGTGTTTGCTGTGTGTTGATTGAGGTTCCTTCGTGATAAAAAATTTTCTAGGGGTAGGGGGGATGTTCACTGTTAAACATGCCTTGCTATTGGGCCCACATAAAACCCCCAAAAAACATTGGCATCCATTGCAATATGATGTCCAAATCTGCATGGAATGGAAGTTCCAATCAGTTTTTATTGCTTTTATTTGTTTACTTTACCCCCTACTCCTTATCCTTCTTACATTAGCATGAAATCCTAATCCAATGATGATGGATATTATGTCCTCAAGGGATCATGGGATGCCATGAAAATTGGGTTGGTGGCATTGTTTAAAAACTATACATAATCTGATTTACTTCCATAGTTTACAAAAAAAAAAAAAAAAAAAAAAAAAAGAAAGAAAATGATTGTAGTTGAGTTCGACAATAGTTGATATTAAACAAAGACTTGCATTGTAAGATTAATTATTTATCTTTACAATAAACTCAGTTATTGGGCTTTTTAATTATATGTATTAACAATTAATCAATATTACACTCAACCTGTGCTTTGTATTGTAAATTTATTTCTGGTTGCGATTTTATTTATTGCTAAAATGAAAGTAATCATTTGATGTATTTTGCAATTAAATAATCATCTTCCAATTATGGAACTAAAAACATTGTTGTGTACTGAAACGGTTTTTTTTTAAATAAAGTAAAATGGGTTTTAAAGTATTGAATACAGAATACTCTGGGAGTAATTTTAAAAATAAATAAAAATTCTACTAACAAGTATTGTAAAATGTTTTTTTAGAGCATCTTCATTGGACCATGTCAAAGTCATACCTTGGGATTTGGTGCAACATGGTTTAGAATTTCCCTACAATGGTTGCATCAAGGCCATCTACATTTTGGATTTATCACAGAAAACTTGGGTACACTTGGTAGGGCTTGGTACTGCACAACAAACTTTTTCACATGCATGTACTAGTCATGTGGAGAGCAGAAAGCAAATGTAAACTGCTCTTGTGTGGGAATGAAGTATTAATGTGGAATATGAGAATGTAGTAGAGTACCAGGTGGAGTGGATAACCCTTTGACGAGCCATAATTCCAACTACAGTGAAAGCAGCATTGCTTACAAAATGAGACCTGTCAAGTGATTTCCTGCAAGGCCTTAGGCTTGGATTTTGGTGTCCCTGCATGGTGTAGCTCACTTTTAGATACTCTCATAGCAACAAAGCCTCCACAACTCTTTTCTACAAAGAAACAATTGTGTCCGAGATCTTTCTATCTCTTCTCCATGATTGCATTTCTCTTGATCTATGAACATAAGCTAATTTCACACTGAATTTTGTAAAAAGGATGAGGAAAAAGAAGGATTAAAAATGGAATTATATCTGATATCTATTTGGCACAGCTGAGCACACAGCAAACATCCAGAATATAATTGTATTCCTGGGTTCACAAAAGAGTGATGATTGATAAGTTCCAAAAAAATGAAAACTCAAAATTAGATTTCTTACAAAATATATTATAATACAGAGGAATCAAATAATACAGGGGAAGTCACCAACTCATGCTCAATCACCAAGAGTGTACCATCCATAAGAACTGTCCCCTGTTGACAGTTGATTGCTGTCCTCTGCACCAATCTCTTGGGGTCATGCCACCTGTCCCTCAAAAAAATTAAAAAAAATTAAATTAAATTAAATCTTGGAAAAGTAAAACTTTCACCTTTGTTGAATCAGATTGGTGAAACTGCAAAATGCTCCATTGGGAAGGGAATCAAATAAAAAGAAACAGACGATTTTTGGAATGAAGAGTCCATACCTGCCACCGGTTTGGTTGTCGGCCATGGAATTGAATAGATGTCAAATCCAACCAAATACTAGAGCTCACAGGAGCGATGTGCCTCGAATCAGACTGAAGCCTAAGTTGAAACAACAAAATCGGAATATATCCTTTACAAGAATACGTTAGGTATCAATTGTGTGGGTCGCTTTTCCATTAAAAACAGAATACTGCCAGACTCAGGGAAGTGTGGTTTGAACATGTGATTGTTACACTCTGCAGATTAATTTCAATCGCAATAAGCATAGTTTGACATTGAATGCATGCAATAGAATCTGGATTTCCTGATTCTTCATAGAGATACAGGTAGAATAAAAGTCCGATTTACCTGAACTCTCGACCACCGTCTGATAGTGTCAGTGCTTTACCCTGACCTGTTGCAAATGCTCGTGCTCTGGATCATGTCAATGAAACCCTTGCTGTGGAACTCTTGCTGGATTTCAGCATGTTTTGTTGCAATAGTAAGCATGATCATGGCCTCTATCTGCTTCACTGATATGTAGATCTTCAAATAATTATCAACAATTGAGCTCCATGCCACAGCAAAATCAGTAGGCATGTTCCTGGAGTCCAAGAGCGTGTCAACAAGGCCAAAGCCAGGACACTGAGAACAAAATGAAGCCAAAGAGAAACGAGGTTTCGGTTTGCTTCAATTTTAGGGCTTACGTTACCTTTGACTCGAGAATCGCCTCCCCGGAGAATGTTGTTGTGCTACTTTCTTCGCGTTGATGGTTCGGTCCCTGCACAAATACTGAATGAAAGGTAAGCAACCACCCGTTAAAACAAGCCGAGTTGGAAATTAATGAGATGCGTGACAACATGTAGATAAGCTTCTACGAACATGTTCAAGGTCATCAAGTTTCGTTACTTGTCCCGAAGTCGCGATGGTTTTCCCTCTGGAAAGTTTATTGGCTTCTGTATAAAGTAATCCAGAGCAAGGCACTTAGACTTCTAAAACCACAGGGCTGGGATCAGCGCCACCACGCCCATCAAAGAAATGCACTAAAATCAGCAATCCGCTCCAATAAAACCCTTCAAATTACTGTTTACCTCATTTAGGTTACACCACAAACTAAAAATGTACAATGCGGCGAAAGTACGAAATGTGCATGAAAGGGGCACGGGGAGGTTTGAAGTTGTCCTTCAGCCACTTTCTCAAAAGACGTGTATTTTAGCTCATTTAAAGCAGCAAGCAGGTTCATACCGAAGAGAAATTCTGAATCCATCCGGAACAGGGATGTGTTTCTCGACCGGTAAAGTCCGACTGAGAGAAACCGAAGCAATCCAATAACTTAAAAGAGCACTATTGTTCTAAATGCAGTTCAGAATTCTAATACATGGATGTATTTCATGTCTGGCACGATAAATGAGAAGCAAACGTGAGACTCTGGTGGATTCAATGAGGAATATTAAGAAAAGAAATTGTCGTTAATGTGGCAAACAATCCTTTCTAACGACGCGAATGTAGTGCATCAATAGGTTTGCCTACAAGATTGAGTGCATTGAAAGTGGCCGTGGTTGTTCCAAAGTTTTTAAATGCAAGTGGCGAAGGCGATTGCATCCCGCTCCCAATGATTTAAGGCAAAAACAATTGACGTTAAATAGTCTACAACTCATGTGCAGACAGGTATAAGGTCAAGCACCTGAAAACTGAACAAACAATTACATCAATTCCTGTTAAGGACAAGTATCGTGTACCCAGAAACTTAATGCCACGAAATTATTTAGTTGACAAATAGACAATATTCAATAACAACGAACCACTGCAAGCACACATGTTGGAAAAATGAACCTCTGAGATTCTCTTGTACTCCACCATGTTTTACCAATACAATCTATTGACACTAATCTATTGAATACTTCCACCTCATTGAGTAACACTTGATTGATTCGGAGTTCTCAAACAACTAATCGATCTGTAGAAAGAACAAACAGACAAATACAGTAAAGCAACGAAACCGCATTAGCTGAGCGAACCATTCATGCGTCAATGCTGACGTACCACATGAGATGAAGGGACCAGGGTAACGTGAAAAAATGAGAATCTAAGGAAGCATTCTTGATTGCGTCGAAGTTTTCAAAACGCTGTGAACATAACAAAAGTATAACACAACTGGGCTCTGACAACAAGGAAGGCGAGGAGGCCCACAAATTCAATAGAAGCAAGCCAAAGTTAGTTCAATTCTTGGGAAAAAATTCGCAACCGAAACAATACTCTCCTCTTCCGAATCTCATGATTATTATTATCACCCTGTTGTACCAGAATTACAGCGATAACGCACCAGTGTAAGAATCTGTGTCGATGATGACTTGCTTCTTCGGCACGGCCCACTGTGAGTTACAGCTTAATTGCAAAGTAGGGTTAAGGATTCCTCCTCCTCCTCCCTGCTTCGCCCGCATCCCTCACACCTCGCCTCGACCTCTCACCAAAAACGGCACTGATGCTGTCCATCTCACCTCGACAAAACTCTCTTTTGCCACTTTTCGACTTGAATACAAATAACAATCCAGTGCGGCGCTCGATTCCCACAGCTGCGACTGCGCTCATGCTCAATGCCGCATTTCTCATCCATCTCCGTAGATATATTCATCCATCCATCCTTGCAATGAAGCCTTCCGTCCGACTTTCATCCGCCATGGATGAGGAACTATGGTGACCTTCCTTCATCCATTGTTCCACATACTTACATTGACATTATCGTTTTGCATTGTAGTTCTATCTAACTTTTTCTATCTTATTAAAGTAAGTTTGTATTAGTGATAAATGTTAATCTAATTACTTCCTATAATTTTTTACCATATTGAGTTGTTAGTAGTCAAAGGATATAAAAGATAGAACAACCATGGCAAGTGATGACAAGAGTTTGTAATAAAGTTGGTGGTTCTTAAGTTTTGAAAATAACAACTTAAAAAGTATCCCATGGTCAAAGATGTTTTGTTTCATTTTTTTTGGATGAGCTTTATTCATATAAATATACATTATTTTGAAGTAATACTTAATCTATAAATTTTATTGATGTCAAAAAAATTTATACATTTATAAATCAAAAGTATTAAAAGTTAAATTTAATATTATTATATACTTTTATAATATATATTTAATGATATTCTTGTATTTATTTATTTTTATTAGATTTTTATTTTAAATAAATATTATAAATAAAAAAACATGAATTTAAAAAAAAAAACTTCGAAATAGATAATACAACAATGTATAATTAAATAAAAATCAAGAAGATAAAAATAAATAAATAAAATATACTGATAAAATTAAATATTATTAGTATATCAATTTTGATAAGGACTTTGTCATTCTAATCCAAGTTATATGCAAGGTTTTGGAATTCGATAGCATATATGGTGACAAAATGTAATTATTATTGTAATAATAGAAGTTTAGTTTCTATTACTATTTCTCTATTTCTTTTTCTAAATGTGGCCATAAATATTTTTAAGAATGAATTCAAATTATGTAAGAGTTGAAAATCTTTTTTCATCGAAAGAACAAATTAAAAGAGTACTTTTAAATAGAAGTGCACCTATGAATTCAACTAAAATAAATCCATTAAGGTATTAAAAAAGATACAACCTTAGATAGAGCTTATTTTGTTTTAAAATTTTGAGAAATTTTAATCTTCTTCTCTTAAACTTCTCTATTATACTTATCCTTGCTTCTTTCATATTTGTAGTAGTAAGACTTTGCAGATTCAATTATAAGGTTGATCTACTTGGTTCTTTCAACTGCATAATTTTTTGGCCTTGAAATTTAATCTTATTATTGATTTTTTTTCTATAGGTGTAGAAATAGTATATTCATGGCTAATATTGATAATACGTGAAATTTTTATTTTAAAATATTAACAAGCTACCAAAGATATGAATTTTAAAGGACCAAATGGTCAATATATTCTTTTATCATTTGATAAGAATAGATAATTATTGATACATGGTATAATATTGAACTAGAATAGCTATTGTTAAAGACAAGAAAACTAGAGAGTCTTAAAATAAGAATAGAGACAAGAAAGACATTCATAAGAGTAAAGAAGGCTTTACTCTTATTTTTATATATATTATCTAATTAAAAGCTATACAATGATATTTTATAAGATCTTTGATAGATATCTAGCTTGTAAGACAAATTTCCTATATATGTATCATATGGCCAAATTGTGCATCAAGTTATCAACATGTATAACATGTGGCTAATTTATTGGTCAAATTTTCAACCTACCAATCAACTATAAATACATATAAAGTCAAATTTGTATCTATAAAATTTTTAAGAAGCTTTTCTATAATATATTATTAAATATATCTACATTTATCTTCTACTTCATATTTTTCATCTAAGTAAATATGTATGTCCATGATATTATCTTCCTTTCTAAGAACAAGTTTTAAAAGGAGCAATAATCACATGTTGAAGAAGTTCAAGATGCAACAAATTATATTTGCTACATACTTTGATCTTTGTTTTGTTTGAAGGTAGTTAATAGGTCATTGCAACCATCAATAGTATTCTATATCAAGGCAAGAAAATCACCTTAATATTTGATTATTTTTTAGGATTTCATAACTTTTTTCAAATAAAATATTTGGAATATTATTAGAAATGGTTTTTATCTCCAATAATATTACTAAACATTGGAAGTCTCTTTCATAATTGTGATACTAAGTATATCATATTTTACCATTTACTTGAAAAAAAACATGTTGTTCTTGAGGATTTTTATTTCTATTATATTGTCTTGAAGATTGTGACAATCACAATATCTTGTTTGATAAGTCAAATGATATCTCATAAGTTGTATCTACTAGCTGTAGATTCTTTAACTCTTTAGAATCATAAATATACAAAAAGTTCAATAAAAAATAGATGATAGAATATAATCTTCAATGAACCTTATTTCTTTTTTAATATAGAATTATCGAACTCTTAATCTTCATTTTGATGGATTTTGTTAATGAAAAATATCAAACTCCTTTGTTGTATTTTTAAGTTTCTTGATTGGCTTTGATGTACATTCACTAATATCATATCTATGTTAATGTACAAGATATTTCAACGTATTTTGGCGTCGCCTTAAATCTAAGACTTCTTCAACCTCAAATTCTTGATTATTGTTTACTTCTATGAGATGAAATGACATTTATCTTCTTTTCAATATATCTATTGTCTTATATGGCTTGAGAAGAGATTCATAGAATATGAGATGGATCTCCATAGACTCCAATAGGGGTAAACAATATGCAACTAGTTTTATGCCCACTTTCAAAATCTTAAAAAGAATTTGCTAAAATTTTGATACAAATTGAGTCTTTCTATCTAATATAATATTTTTTGGTAATCCATAATAGAAATAAATATTGTTAAGAAAAAATTTAGTTTTTTCTTTAATTATGAAAGATCTTATATTTGATACAAAATATGCTTTTTTGATGAAATTATCTACTATTACAAATATAAAGTCAAAAACTAACAACTTAAAATTTAAAAATTTGTGATAAAATCTATAGAAACAAAAGACCATAGTTTTTTTGATATGGATAATGGCTAAAGAAGTCTATAAGGTCAATAATAAGGAATTTTTAACCTTGAATAAATATCACATAATTGTGCTAAGACTTTAACCATCTTGAGGGCATAATTGCATGTTTTACCTTTCATTTTATAAGATAGTAATTTTGGTAACAAGTTGGACCAATACTCATTTTTAACCTTATTTGTATAAGCAATGATTTATATTTATAATTGACCATCAACAGTTAAAGTGTTTCATAGAGTCACACAAACTTACTAACAAGCTTGCTAGATGAGCATTGTTGCCTTAAAAATATGACTTTAAGGTTGTACATTAGACAAATATTATCAATTTGGATGCAGATGTGATTTCTTGTAATCCAAGTCTTTTGAATGAAAACTTAACTAGAGCCCAATAGCATAGAAATTATAATAGAGAGATAATTTTTAGATAGCATGCAGCTGTATATTTGACTTTGATATTTGACTCTACAATTATATTATCTAATTGAAGTCCAAATAAGTAATTTGATAGAATCTAAGTTGTTAGCAATATATAAAAGACCTTGAAATTGTGGACAAGCTTCAATAAAAGATTTTTTTTTAAGTTATTCTTTTAAAAGAAAAAAATAAAATGAATCACTAAAATTACAAGGTTCTATTGAAAAAATAATTTATTTTTTTTCTATGTGATATAATCAAATTAGATATATAATTTATAGGCCAAATCAAAGAACTTCCTTGATGTGATAAGTATACAAAGAAATTGGACATCTTGGAATATTTAAGATATATTTTATATTCTAAAATCAATATTAATAGACTAGCATATATTAAAAAGTTTCTACATATGTTTTTCAATGTAAAATATATAATCAAATTAGGTCAAGTTATAACACTTTATAACTTCAATTGAGGCTTTTAATTATTATAAATTTAAACTATCAATATTCTTTAGACTTAACTAGGCTACTTATTCTCATCCTATATAGAATTAAATATATATTGGTAATGGTAGAGCATTTTTGCAATTAAATTGAATTTATGGCTTTGCCATAAAATTCTTCAAAATTGGTAGCCATGGCTTTTTTTTATTATATTTTGACATGATTTGGAGTATCTATTGAAGTCTTAACAAACTAAAGAAAGAAGTTTCTTAAAGCTTTTGATGCTTTGTATATCAAAGCATTGATAGATCATTGTACCACCTCTAGAAATTATCTTAAGATAGATGATTTTGTTGAATAAGTTTTTCAAACTTTTAAGAATGGTTTATAATAATATAGGTTATTTCATAGGAATTATTATAATTGAGACTTGATGTTGTTTTAGATTATAATAGATTATTACTTTAATAAATAGATAACTTTGATATCTTACAATCCTTTCTATTTTTTTTATAAATGAAAGTCAATCCTACTAAGTTAAATATATAAGAAATTATTTCTAATGGTAGATCTAAATGATCCTTACATTTGGACTTAATATCTAGGAAATCAAATAGAATTTTTTAAAAAGACCATGCTTATGGTCATGGAAAATTTATCTATGTTTTAATATTTAAATACTTTATAATATACTTGTATTTCTAGTGGAGCTTATTAATATCAATTATAAAAATTATTTAAAAATATTTATGAATATTTTAGACTTAAGATACTTATAATATTTGATGTTCAATAAATGTATAGATTTCTTCATATCAAAGATGTATTGGCCATCAATATTTTGTTACTTAAAGACAATGATGGATAAGAATGTCGGAAGCATTTAAATATTTTTACTCCTTGTTATCTTCCTATTGATCGTCATGTATATCTTATATTAATACTTATGCCAAATGATCTTCTTTATTTGATATATGGTTAAAAAAAACAACTACTACCATGTTCTTATGTGATTAGTGTCAATATAGATGGCATTTGATATGCTTGACACTACCTCTTTTAATTTTTTTTTTAAAAGATAGTATTTATTCTTATTTT